CCATCCCTGTCCCTGAAAATATTTTAGGGGAAAAGTTTCTCATCCTCGACCCCATCTAAAATGGGGATTCCTTACTTTTTTTGGAGCAAAGACTCGACCTTATGGACAATTTACTATCCTTTGTGGAAGCATGAAAATAAAAGTTTAGAAATAGAAAAAAACGCTTTTTAGAGAAAGTATATTTAGAGAAAGAAAAAAGATTTAGATAGAGAAAAGTTAGTGAGTGACAAATATGCTATAAAAAATATTAGTTAGAGAAAAAAATGTAGGAGAGCACTTGAGAAATATTAGAGAGAGCAAAGTTGTTAAGAATTAGTGCATACATGTGTTAGTTTATATTAGTATTTCTTGTTAAGGATCCCAGGTTGAAAAAAGAAGGGACCTAACAATGGTTTATAATAGACATGGGCTACTCATCTATTCATGGGGTTCCATCTCAAAATCAATTGGCAATGGGAGGAGTAGACCATATCTATGAATTATGCTCGGTAGTTATTTTTATAAGTTAGAAGTTATTTTATCAGTGGCATAAGTAAGTTATTCCTTCATACAATTTTTCTCTTGCTTGTGTTGTTTTCTTCTTTTTTTCATTACAAAAATTAAAGACAAAAAGATAAATTTAAGAGAGAGAGAGCAATGTTGAGAGCAAGATTAGCGAAAGAAATAGAAATTATAAAAATAAATGAAAATTATAGTGACTGGATATTTAGAAAGCAAATTAGGCAGAGAAAAGTGAAAAATAGTTTTATAGAAAACATATAGATTAGAAAGAAAAAGATAAGGTATAAAAGGAGAAATTTTAGAGAGAAAAAAACTTGAAAAAAGAGAACCATCGAGAGAGAGTAAAAGTATATTTAATAAAAAGAAAAGTTTAGAGAGAAATTGAGTGAGGAAATAATTTAAGAGAGACATATTTTTAGAAAAAGCCATGTCAAAAAAGATTTTGAGAAAATAGAAATATGTCTGTAAAAACTTTTTTTTTGTTTTCTTTGACATTTACTCAATTTAAATAAAATTTAAAAGACAGAAAAAAGGTTATCAAGTCTTTTTCAAAACTAAAANTTAAATTTTGAAATTCTTTTAAAGAAGTAGATAACAAAATAAAAAAAAAACAAGGTGGGACCGGGAGTAGTGCGCATAAGATGATTTTTTTAAAAAAAAAAACAAAAAATAAAATAGTTATTAAAATCAAGCGGGGTTTATTTATTTGATTTTGTAGCTGGATTTAAATATTTCCATAATGAGATTTAGGGATTTTTTTTTGGCTCAGTTTGATAATTATTTGGGCTGTATTTGATAAATATTTTAGAATGGTCGGGTAACTATTTTATTTTTTATTTTTTGTTTTTAATTTTTAATTTTTAGAAAAATTAGCTTGTTTAATAATTAATTCAATTATTTTGTTTCCATTTCTAAAACTGGTTTGAAATTCCAAATAAATTTTAAAAATCGAAATTTTCTTTTTCAAATTTCAAAATCTCGTGTCAACATTTTTGTCTGTGACATATTTATCTTTAACAAATCTATTTCTCATTCTTCTATATATATTTTTCACTTTAAAATCTTTTTCATCCTAAATTTACCTATCAAAAAGTTTATCTTTATATCTTTGAAATTTTAATATCTTAAATATTTATTATTATTTTTTTTCAAAATTTTTATTTATTTCTTTTGTTCTAACATACCACCCTCATTTTTTCTCTATTTAAAAAATTAATATTTTCCAATACTTTTTTCTGCAAATTTCGTCTTTTATGACTTTTATTTTTCTTTCTAATATATTTTTTCTCTAGTAAATATATTTTTAATTTTTTATACTTTTTTCTCTTTCAATTTTCTTTTATAGTAACTTTCATTTATTTATTTTTCTATAACAAATATATCTCAAACTTTTTCCTGTCTAAATTTTAATTTTTTCTCTTTCTCATTTTTTTCTTATGTCTTTTGCTATTAACTTTACTCACTTTCTCTTAAATTTTCTCTTTTTTGTCTTTTTATTTTTCTCTCAATTGCTTTTTCCTCCAACTTTTTTTCTCTAAATTTTTTATTTACCTCTTTAAATTTACTTTCTAAAACTTCTTTTTAAAAAGTTTCTTTTTATATCTAAATTTTTAGTTTCATGTCTCTCTAATAGTGATAACAAAAATCTCTAGAGTCAATGCTCCAAAAATAGGAAATTCCCTTCCCACCCTATCTCGACCTATCTCCAATTCAATCTTTTAAATAATTAATATATATTTTATTTACTATTTTACTAAGCTATGAATAAAATATACAAGATTATAAAAATTAATTATTTATACTAGTAAATAATAATTTTTAATATATATTACTCTTTTTATTTTTTAAATTCTAAAAACAATTAAAATTAATTACTAAACCAATCATCTTTCTCGCGAAGGTTCTGTCCGTCCCAAATGATTCTTCGACCTGAACCTCGATTCTCAAAATTGGAGAATAGGGTAGAGACGAGATTAAAAGTTTCTACGAGAATGAGAATGGAAAGGGCATCTTCGACTCTCGCCCTACCCCACTGTCATCTCTCTACTCTACATAGACTTTTCTCTTTCTAGCATCTCTAACTCTATAACTTTTAAAAAAGAGAAAACAAAAAATTAAAAACGGAAGTCTCGTTTGATAACCATTTTAGTTTTTGGTTTTTGGTTTTTTGTTTTTTTTTTGTTTTTAGATTTTGGTTTTTGGTTTTCTGTTTTTAAAAAACAAAAATTTGATAACCATTTTTTGTTTTTTGTTTTTAAAAAAACACAAAACTTTGGTAACAATTTTTAGTTTTTAGTTTTTAAAAAGTTAGAAAATTGAAAATACATATTAGAGAGAAAAATTTTTATGTAGAGTAGAGATAACAATGGTATGGGTGCGAGTGAGGATGTTCTCCTCATTCTCATGCTCGTGAAAATTTTGAATCTCCGTCTCCACCTCGTTTCTTGGGTCCGAGAGATGTTCTCGAGAAAAATTATCGGTTTTATAATTTTTTTAAATTATTTTTAAAATTTAAGTATAAAAAAGTGTAATAAATATATATTAATTATTTAAAAAATGGAATTGGGAAGGGGAACGAGGTCGGGACACGCATTTCCTATTTTTGGACTCGACCCTGCAGAAATTTTTGTTGTCCCCTAATGTAGAGACATGAAAATACAAGTTTAGAGAGATGTAAATAAAATTTGGAAGATAAATTTTAGAGAGATAAATAAAAAGATTAAGAAAAAAAAGAGTGAAAGAAAAATTAAAGACAAAAAGAGAAAAATTATAGAGAAAAAAATAAAATCGAGAGGAAAACATATGTTAAAGAAAAAAAAAAGAAATTATAAAGAAAGAGAAAAATTATAGTGGAAACAAATTCCGTGATAATAACACGATTCAAAATATAATTTTCAGAGAAAATAAATAAATATAAAGATAAATAAAAGTTACCGTGAAAGAAAATTGAATGAGAAAATAAAATATAATTTTAAGAGGAAAAATAGATTATGAAGATAAAGAAAAGTTATAAAAGATGAAATTTTAGAGAGAAAAAAGTTATAAAAGATATTAAATTTTGAGAGAGAAATGAAACTGGCCTGTTAGAAAAAAAAACAAAAATATAAAAAAATTTGAAGAGACACAAATAATAATAAATATTCAAAGTATGAAAATTTTAGAGAGATAAAAATAAAGTTTGCAGAGAGAAATTTAGAAATAAAAAATTTTAGAGTGAGAAATAAATTTTTTAGATGTAAATATGAGAAAGAAAAAAAAAGTTGAGTGTTAAAAAAAAATCAGATTTTGAAAAACAGAAAACTGTTTTTGAAAACTTTTTTTTTGTTTTTAAATTTACATAGAATTTCAAAATGGTTTTTGAAAAAAAAAACATAAAAATTGAATTGGTTATCAAACAATACTATTTTTGAAAAAATAAAAACCAAAAACAAAAAAAAAATAATTATCAAACCGATCCTAAATAATCATTATCAAAGAGAATCTCTTGGTTCTCTGTTTAAAAAAATAAATTTATAAACACCACCTAAGTTTTCTTGTTTTTTTTTTCTTTAAATTTTATAACATACTTTTTTAACAATAATTTTAAAATCTAAGCCTCTTTTGAAATCTAAAAAAAATAGTTTTAAAAACCTTATTTTTGTTTTTGAAATTTGGCTAGAATTTCAAACGTGTTTTTTCCTAAAGAAATATGAAAAATATTCTAAAGAAATCGGGAAGAAACAAACATAATTTTTAAAATATAAAACTAAAAACGAAATTAGTTATGAGATGAGTCTTAGTTTTTTATTTTAATTTTTTATAAATTAAGTTTATAAACACTACTTTTAGTGACGTTTCAAGACTATTTTCACGAAGAAAAAAATTACCTACTAAAAGAATTATGAGGAAAGAAGCATTACAAATGTGTATGTATTGACTCAAATTATATAATAAAGTTTAAAGATTTTTTAACTCACTAAAATTAAGTGTACGAACTAAAACATGATTTATTTTATATCTAAATCTTGTTGGTATTTTTAAACTTTTAGATGGTTCAATTTTGGTCCTTTTAACTTCAAAATGTTCTATTGCTATTGAATTATAATAAAATCTCTTGAGTTTTATATTCTTATGAGAAATTTTAAGTCATATCCATCTCCATATATTACTTTGGTACTTTTCTAATTTTAAAAAATATTATGACAAATCAGATATTTGATCGAATACATACAACCTAAACCAAAATATAATTCAAGTTCACATAGTGTCGTATAAGATTTTCATCAAATATCCACAGAAATTAAACGACAAACAAGAATGTACGTAACATAATTTTAACAACACTCGTCCACCAAAATCAAACCAATACACAAAAGTTACAAGGATCAAAATTTCAAAACACTTCCAAAATCCATCATAATTTCCACAATCACCATTTGATCTTTAAGACTCTGAAAATGGAAATCCATCGACTCACACTCCAATTCTAATGTGCTCCTTCCATATTAAGCACTAAACTAAGGGCCAAAACAAACCAATATATCTAAACCCTACACAAGAGATCAGAGAGCTCAGCCAGAAATTAGAGACACCAAAATGCGGCGGTGCTCCGAGCCCTGGATGTTGGTCGCGGTGGTGGTCGTAACCTTTGCTGCCGTGCTCGGTCCGATGCTGTTAGTCACGGCGCATCATCAATCGACCGTGTCCGAGAGAATCACGTCCTTGCCGAGGCAGCCGATGGTGGCGAGTTTCGGGCAGTTCGGCGGGTATGTAACGGTGGATGAGAAGGAGGGGAGAGCTTTGTTTTATTACTTTGTTGAAGCAGAGTCTCAAGCTGCTTCCAAGCCCCTTGTTCTTTGGTTGAATGGAGGTATTTTGAGGACTCAGTTTTTGTTCTCCCTAAAACACATGCATAGTTTTGCATGGCAGTTATATTTTGATTTTTTTCCAAGTCTTTTTTCTTTATTTTTAAATTCAACACCTGATATCAAAGAGAGTCTCAGTCTAGTCAATCAACTAATCCACTCGTGGAGTTCCCGTGGTATAGTAGTAGTGTGGTAGTTTAGACTCCGCCCCTATCTCTTAAAGCTACGACATCCTACCGATCCTCGCATCGGCTCTGCTAGTTGGCTTTGCTATCAAGGCATAGCATTCTATGGACTCTTTCACCACGTCCAGAAATGGTATGCCAACACCTTTTCTCCTTAACCAACCAAAGTATGATGATGGCAATAACCGCGTTTGCCGTWAAAAGTCAACCGGTGTTCTCCGTACGCAGGTAACACCTTACTCCTCGTATTACCATGGTCTTTCGAGTAGGATATGTAATACGTTCGACGTCACACCAGACGTCCGACTTGAACTTCCCCAGCTCCAGGGGCACCTTCTCAGCGCGGGAAGGATTTAAACATTTTGATTTAAAATATATGTCTCGTGGTTAGAGTGGTAAGTTGACAGATTCTTTTAAAATTAAATTATACCTAATGACTTTGATTGTTGACACATTTGTGATATGAATGTGGTAAAGTTCATTCACGAAACGATGATGTGACATTTTATTTTCGAAGAAAAATAGTATATATTCTATTAGGAACCTCACATTACCTAACACATAATAATTTACTCGATCCAAAATTAATGGACTGATTAGAAATATTATTATACTACCAATATCGACTTCATTATATATCTACATACATACTTTTTAGTTATTATTTTTTAATGTTTGGTGACAATAATGATTAGATTGTTGATTTTTTTTTAATTTTAAAATATTAAGGAATAAATTAAAAGAATTGTCACAAATATTACTGTTGATTTTCTAATTTATTTGAATGTAATTAATTTTAGATACTTTGGCTGGATGTTCATCTGTTGGAGGTGGAGCTTTCATAGAACATGGGCCCTTTAAAGTTGATGGTGAAACTTTGGTCAAAAATGAATATAGTTGGAATACAGGTCATCTCTCCACTTCCTCTTCTTTTTTATTTTATTTAATATTACTCCCAATCATTTTAATTTTTTCTTTACCAATTGGTTAAATATTAATATATAATAATTTTCTAATCTTATTTACTCCATACATATAAAAATTAGGATTTATCTAATGAATTTCGTGGATCTAAACCTAACTCAAATAGTCAGATACTAATATCTCTCTTTACATGTTATAGATTTGAATTTCTTGTTCGCATTTATACTGTAATATCATTTTCAAAAAAAATGACGGATAAACATTAATATTATTGTGTATATATCGAATCTTCATCTTGTATTAGAAAAATGAAGAAAAGAATAACATTATTTGTTATGTCGGCTTGACATAACCTGAGTAGTTAAGCACCAATGTATGGATCGTAGATTCGAATAATTTTTCTTATATTTATATTATTGTGATTTTTTTAAAATCACACTACAAATCAAGGTACGACAATTATAAATTGCTCCAAGAAGTTGTGCAATAATTTAAAAACTGTTGGTAGAAGCTGAGTTGAGATTGATTTTTGTAAATGTGTTTCTATTGCAATTGTTAGGTGTCTATAACTATTGAGTTATGTTCTATGTTTGTGTTTCTATTGCAGTTTTGTTAACTTATTTTGCAACGATTTTATCGACCTCTAATATTTTGCAACAATTTGTATAACGACCATAAACTCTATACTTTTAAAATTTTTATCACGAAAAGTAGAGATGTATAATTTTTAGAAACGGAAAACTAAAATAAAATATTCAGACAGAAATATTAAAATTTTGTCATTTTTTTTCAGAAGCAAATATGTTATACGTAGAGTCACCTGCGGGAGTTGGCTTCTCTTACTCTACTAATAAATCATTCTACTTGAACATAAACGACGTCATTTCAGGTTTGTGATATGTCATTTTCGACTTTTATTTTTTATTTTAAAAATCATTTTTCGACTAAAATTCATGCTTAATTCATTAATAAACTTGAACTTCAATTTATGAATTTTATTTGATGTGGAATCGAATTGGGTTTTAATAGCTCGGGATAATCTCGTCTTTCTGCAACATTGGTTCGAGAAGTTTCCTCAATATAAAAAGAGAGCTTTCTATATTGTCGGAGAGGCTTATGCAGGTACTTTCAAACATGTTCGTTTAATGAGATAAATTTAAATAAATAAATAAATAATAGGTTTAAATACTATATATTCAATCTCTGTAATTTGCTTCATTTTGGTTTTTGTACTTCCAGATCTACTCAATTTGGTCCTATACTTTGAAAAAGTGATTATTTTGGTCACTTCATTTGTTAATCACAATTTTACATCGCACCCCATTGTGTTTAGATTTTGTGTTGAAATCTCACTGACAGTGGCCAAAATAGACGTTCTTATAAAAAATAAGAACTAAAATAGAGACAAAAGTTAAAAAATGAAGGGACGACGACCAAAATGGATGTTTTAAAAATATAGAGATCGAAATGAATTAGAGAAGTAATTTAACCAAAATATTATTATGTTATTTTCTAAGCTTGTGTGGCCTTGGTTTGCAATAGGAGGACACTATGTGCCACAACTTGCACAACTCATTGTTAGTTCAAAATTGAAGATCAACCTCAAGGGGATAGCTGTAAGTGTTCATTCAATATAGTCTTTATTTTTTTCTTTCATTTAAATTTAATGATTTTGAGCTTCTAAAATATATATATTATTATGTAAGCTTTTAAATTTGTTTATATTTTTTTTATTGAACTTTTAAATATCAATTTTAGTGCCTGAATTAAAAAACTCATATCATTATTATTTTTCAAATATATTATAACGGTATAAATCTGTACTTCTTTAACTTAAACTCAAATTTATTAAAACAGACTTATCAAAACAGTCAAAATATACCAAAAAAAAAAAAAACCAATAATGAAAAGAAAGATGTATTTATACATAAATATTTGAGTTATATTCAACTTTGATTTATTGATAAGGGCCAAATTAATTTTGTTAAAAGCTAAAATAAAATTTGGCCTAAATATATAATTTAGTCTTTAATGTTTTAATTTTTATTTAAAATTCAGTCTTTTGATCTTTAAATGTTAAAATTGATTTATAATAATTAGACAAAAAAAATTAAAAGATAATTGTAAAAAATTTTGCAAAAATAACTTTCTTATTAATTTCTATGGACTCATTAAGTATCATCATACTTCCATAAAAAAAATATAATTGAAAAAATGTTAAAATATACGAAATTGAATTGAAAGAAACTAAATTATAAAACCGTCTCATTAAGCATTAGGTTTAAGATTATCTAATTCAACTAATTAAAAAAATATATTCGAGTTCTTAGGAAGAACGAAAAAGAAAAAAAAAAAAAAAGAAGAAATCGGAATTAACGTTTTGTTTGCAGATAGGGAATCCTCTTCTGGACATTCAGATCGACGCGAATGCCCTAGACGACTACTGGTGGTCTCACGGCGTAATCTCCGACGCCGGCTACAACCTTCTCACCGCCGTCTGCAACGCCTCTCGTCTCGTCACCGAAGGAATCACCAAATCCCTCTCTCCCGCCTGCATCTCCGTCGCCACTCACCTCTCCAAAGAGCTCTCTCCCGCCATCGATTACTTCAATGTCGCCGCCGGCGACGCCTGTCCCTCCGCCAACGCCTCACGCTCGGGCGATTTCGATCGCGATGATCCTCTGCGCTCCAGTTTGTACCAAGCCTTGTTCTTCGGCCTTCCGCAGTCGGACACTGACCGCAATTCCGGCCAGGTAATTTTCTATTGCGATTTAGGGCTTTTGCTGTTTCTTTGAGAGTGATTTGTAAATTTTTAGGGCTTTTGCGATTTTTAGGATTTTTGCTCTTTCTTCTGAGAGCGATTTGGAAAATTTCTTCCGTTTGATTCGGTTTTTAGGCAGGACGAGGAGATCGAGACGCGTGTGCAGGAGAATACGTAACGGAATACTTGAACAGACAGGATGTGCAGAAAGCGCTCCATGCGAAGCTGGTTGGATTTCCGAGATGGAGTCTCTGCAGATCGATGAAGTAATGCTGCAAAACTCTTCTTCTTTGTTCTTCTTTGATTTTTGATTCTGAGATCTCGACGAGTTCGATTTAATTTTCATTTTCTGATTCTTTCGTTAGAGAATGGAAATATGATCTGAGGAACAGATTGGTGCCTACTACTGATTTCGTTCGCGCGCTTGTGAAGTCGAAAATTCGAGTACTGGTGTACAGGTACCCTCGATTATTTTTAATATGAATCATTTTCAAACTTAAAAATTAAGACTTCATCCGATTTTAGTTTTTTATTTTTGAAAATTATGTTTGATTTTCAAGATCCTTTTACGATGATTTTTTTTTAATTTTTAAATTCTGGCTTAGATTTGAAAAAAAACAAAAAAAATTAGAAAAGATAGATAAATAGTACTTATAAGCATTAACTTTCTAAAAATAGAAAATAAAATACAAAATATTATCAAATGTGAGCTAGAAATGAAAGATTTGATTTGTTTATTGTTTAGAAATAAAAAGAAAAAAGTATAGAATTAAAAAAAATAGCATAAAAGGCATATGTATATTTATTAGGCTTAAAATTTTACAAAAATGACATAAATTACAAACTTATACCATTACATTGACCAACTAAAATCGATAACATTTAAAAAAGAAAAACAAAAAACAATGATATATTTATAAATATATATTTATTACACATGCCATTTAGTATAATGTTCCTGAAAATATTAAACGTGGCAGTGGAGATCAAGATTCAGCTTTACCATTTATTGGGAGTCGGAAACTGCTGGATTCATTGGCTAAGTCGTTGGATCTACACCCAACTGCGCCTTACAGAGCCTGGTTTGCTGATAAAAAGGTACTCGCTCACTCTCTCACCATATTACACTAAATTCTCATCCAATCCAACATTTTGTTTTTCAATTTTCTGTTTTCAGATAGTACTTTTCTTTTTAACCGTTGTGAGTTGGACTAGTGGTCAATAAGGATCAATAAAGATATTAAATGACTTGGAGAGAATATGTTCAAACCGTGGTGGCGTTGGTCACTTACTTAGATTTAAAATCCTACAAGTACTTAAGGGTCAGACACTAGATAAAAAGAATATGATTTCTTTTTTTATTTTCCATGCTTCTCAAAAATATTTATGAACTCTTCGTTGACAATAAAAATAAATCTTGATAATTACATTTTCTAGTTTTAAAAAATTTGATACTTGGATGTTAAAAATGTTTTTGAAAAGTAATGGTTAAATATTATGAGTTTCGTTTTTTAATTTTTCCTGTATTTTTTAAAATTATTAGATTTGTGAACTTTTAAGGTTTGTATCTATTTAGTCTCCATGCTTAAAAATGATTTTAATCGAACGGATTTTTTTGAATTAGGTCGGCGGGTGGACTCAAGAGTATGGTAATTTTCTATCTTTTGCCATAGTGAGAGGTGCTTCTCAAAGAACATCACAAACACAGCCCAAGAGATCTCTAATACTTTTAAAGTCATTTTTAGCTGCAAAATCACTGCCACAGTCCTGATCTCTGCTTCATCATTCCACTCTCAGTTGAAATCTATCCATCTTCTATTGTTCAGAAAACTGTATCAGGTTGGATATTTGGAGCTAATAAATGATCAGTTGCTTTCCTGGAGATGTCCATGAAGATTTTCATTTTGTCTTTGGTTTTTGGTTTGGAACTTGTGAAAGCTGAAAATTAAGATTGTTTCACAACTGATTTTTGATTTTGTGAAATGTTTTTAAAAGGAGAATTCAGTTTCTGATTCTTCAGAACGCCAATTACCACTTATACTCATTTTGACTATGATTTCTTTCTTTCTAAAACTTTTCTAAGCGATTTCATAACTTGAGAGAAAGACTTCTCTTACTTCCTATTTATAAGTTGTAGTTTATTTTGACGATTCCAATTTTTGGACTTTTCTAGCAAGTCTCGTTTCGGTGTTAATATTTTTTTGTTTGACCTTATATAAAATACTAATAAAATTGAGGTGGGCTTAGCTATTACCAACATCCACTAATTGTTGTTCCAAATATAGTCGTTAGTTCACATCTCTTCTAATTTGTCGATACGAGAAGCAAAAATTTTTTTTACGTGCTTAACTAGTATTTCTTTGGTTCCAATAGATCTCTCGATCCCATAAAGTGGAGATCATAATAGACATATATAAAAATTTTTCTTTCAAGCTTTTATAGTGAACTTTCTTTCCTCTTTCTAACTTATCTTCCTTCTTTCTAACTCTTCAAATTTCTTTCCCCACTGTCTATACATCTCTCTAAAGTTTCTCTTTCTATAACTTTTCTTTTATTCTCTCACTTATTTTTGTTTCTAACTCATTCTATCTAAAATTTTACTCTTAGCTCTAATATTTTATAAACATTAATACAATGAATAAATTTGAAAATTACACTGATTGAATAAAAGAAATTATATATAAATAGAAAAGCTACCAATAGGCCGTTCGTTTTGTATTTTAGTTTTTAGTTTTTCATTTTGAAAGCAAAATTACGGCCAAAAATATATTCGTAAATTACGTAATTGAATTTGAAAAAAAAAACAAAATAAACTTATTATTAAAAATAATTTAATATTTAAAAAATCCAAAAGCATGTCGTCTCTTTTTATTTAAAAAGAAAAATTAAAACATTTGTATGTCGTCCCTACGTCTCTAATTAAATCAATGCCACCCACCACTGCCCTTTGCTTTTGATACTGAGATATAAGATTAAGAAAAGAAACTATTAGAAATTATTAAAAAGATAAAAGAAAAATCAAGGTTACTGTAATCTGCATGCAGACTGCAGCAGCATGCTGTGTCTGCACGGTATTTATATATATTTTTATTAAAATATTAAACTTTTTTTTTAAAAATAAATCTTGGAAGACTGAAATTTTTATGAACTGACCGACGTCGATTTAGTTGATTTTAGGGGGTCGAATCGGTATTTTGAGGTGATTTGCTTACTCTTAGTAGACATGAAAATTGTATATAGTCTATTGGCCTTCATTCCCCAAATTCTTGTTGGAAATTCTATGATTTAATTGTGTATGATAAAAAAAATATGAAAAATTATTTCTTTGTTTTTGCTTATATTATTTTTCTATCTCTAATTTAATATTACTTTTGCTTTTGAAAAAGTTACCAAGGCCATGCGTCTCAAATTACGTCTCTAATTAAATTTATATTTGGTAACACAATTTTTAGTTATTAAATTCCTACAACCATAACTTATATCTCAAAATTTATTTACCTCTTTCCTTTCTTTAACATACATCTCTCTAATTAGATCTCTTTAACTTTTTTCTATATCCAACTTTTCACTCTCCAAAACTTAAATTTTAAGTAGAGCAAACTAGGGATTTGCATAAATGCTTATTGCTCCACTTTCAAAAGCAAGTTCAAAAGGCTCCCTAAACCACAACCAATTAAATGGAAAGAGCTCAAATAAAACTTTCATTTTGCTTAATTTTTATGTTTCTAACTTTGTTGTGATATGTTACTTATGCTTCATCTATAGTTGATTCATAGCATAGTTTTAACACTGGAAGATGAGAATTCTACAAAAGAAAAAAAAAAGATTCAGTAATTCCACATAAGATTTATTGATCTATAAACCACATGGAAAGAATCAAAGAACTCAAATACAATTTTATTTCATACAAACAGAGAATCAGAGTTCTTGAGAAATTAATTGGTAAGATTTTATTAAGAAAACACATGGAATCTAAGCCTCAATTATTAACAGCTTTACTTGTTTCACAATTTAAGTTTTAGATCTATATTTTAAAATTAGCTATCGAAATAAAATTAAAGCTAATCTAAAACTTACATTACAACACCAAATAACATCAATAATTCTATTATGTTCTACAAAAAGAGAGAAAAATAATCAAGCATCAGATGAGCCAAGAAGAGTGAGAAACAGTTTATTTTAAATAAAAGTTCTCTACTGAAAAACAGAAAAACCATGGCACTGCTGTATCTACTTGTAATTTTTCATGGCCTCACTAAGTTATATTACAGACCAGTATTATCCTGTTCTTTCTATCCAAATAAGTCTACTTGGCCAACTCTATCCATCCAGACATTAAGGAAACAATGTCTTGAAAGCTGAATCTAACATACTAAAAATCTGCTAAGCAGTACTCTACCCAGCTTCCAAACACATAGGAGAAACCTTATCTGGCTGAAGTAAATTTCGAGGTAGCCGAGAATTATACGATATCGAGCTTTTTCCAATTTTTGGTAGCATTACATAGGAAAAGCCTCAGTGTAGTCATTTAATTTTTCCATTGACATGGATGAACCTCGGCTGCAACACACTTTAGGTTGTTGGCAGGAGATGACATATGCTAAAACTTCTACAGAACCAAAAAATTCTACTAATTTACATGATAATACAAATTCTGAAATGGACTCTCAATTGACAAGTAGAGATGTGAGTGACTTGCTTATAAACCATTTAAAGCTATTAATCCTTTTAAGTGAACATTTGCCCCGAGTGAATTCTTCCAGGAACTTACTGCCTAGGGACGGGAGGTGGTGTCGACTGCTGGCTTTGTCCATAAAAACCTATACCTGGTGGCCGATAAAATCCTCCTGAAGTTGGCTGTGACTGCTGTGGCTGCTGCGGCTGTTGCTGAGGTGGCTGCGACGTCGGCCTAGTCAAACCCATTGCAATATGTGGAGGCAGAGGAGGCGGAGGTGGTAGAGAATATGCACCAAAACCATAAGGTAATACTCCCATTAATGCACCAGACTGCGGATATGGATTTACTGGAGTTGTGGAGGATAGAGATGGTGGTGCTGGTGGAGGTGGTGGAGTAAATGATGCTTGACTCGGGTTAGCCTGGGATACAGGTTGGACATTTGCTGATTGTGCAAGTGCCACACTTGTCAATTGTTGCTGTTGCATAGATGTAACAAACGATCCAATACTATCTGAGCTGTTTACATCAGAAATGGGCATTGGCTTCTCGAGTTTCTGTCGTTTTTCGGGAGAGAATATGGGTAGTGAAGCAAACCCAGATGATTTTAGGCTACCATTCATGGAAGCAGCTTCTTCTGCAACAAGGGATGAAAGAACAGAGGTAAGCATCTGTGCCGAAGATGTAGAAGCAGCCAATTTTGCAGCAACGGCAGCAGCAGCAGCTCTTTTGTTTTCCTCTTCACTGGTTTTAGGACCAGCAAAAGAAACCATAGCCTGGACAAGAGGGGACTGAGAAGAGATTGTGTTTGATTGAACTGAAGTTAACTTAGTATCAGCCACATGGGTCATTTCTGTCAGTAAATCAATGGTAGCAGCCAGAGGACCAGGAACCGGAGTCGTTAATCTCTTCCGAACATTACTTGCTAGCTCAATTTGAGATCGAGCAATCTGCAGATTCACAAGCAGTAAGTTGCAGGCTACATGAGCAAACTCAAATTACAAAATACCAAACTCTAGCTAATTGCCTTTTGGTCCTCAACATATGAGATATATTTAGTATGGGATGCCCATGTTAATGGCAGAGAACAATCGAGTTGATCTGTATCTAAAATAGGAATCTCATTCATAAACATAAAGAGAAAACGAAATCCAGTCGGGTGTGTTAACTAGATAATAAACAGGTTAATGCATCATGTTTAAACAATTAAAGAGAGACTTGGGACTATGAAGCAAAAATACTTTAGTTTGGGTGACATGTCCATGTCTAATAAGTACCCAACCTCTCAACACTTCGACACTTGTTGGGGCCATGTCTGAAACTTGTTAAGCACAAAAATGTGTCAAATATTTGTTCTACATTTAAAGTGTTCAAACTTTTAACTTTTCATTTATTTACTTTTAATTTTAAAATAAAAGTAAATAAATAAAAACACTTTACTGCAACGTCGACTCCAATCATGTTCCAACTCAAAACTTTCCAGCATCCAGCCTTGGTCGAATATGGCAGTGCACGAAATCTTAGTCAAAATAAAAAAACAAGATTTTTGCACGTGGTTTTGACAAAGAGAAACGTGGAAGATTCATCAAAAGTACTGGAAAACACATCATACGTTTATTTTGCTCTTTTGATGGAAGAAATAATTGGGGTCTAGATCGCAGACTCCCTAGAAGACCACCTAGGCTCCCACAGCCACCACAAATACAAAAATTATTTAGGAAAACAGACTGTGTAGATGACGACTTCATTTGGATACAAAAAGTAATGAATCGAAGAGGGAACTTTGTCGTGATCACAAAGGTCCAAAGCTTGAGGGGAAAAGAACCTGGTAATACACTCCGACAAAGGCTTCACAGGATGGGCCGCCTTCAAAGGAATGCTAATCGACTTCGTAAATGGGAAAACAAATTCTCCCAGGTTCGAGTCTTGGGTTGGGCACGGGTGTCCCTGGGTAAAGGGGAGCAAAGCTTTGACTCCAAGTTATAAAAATAAAAAATAAATAAATAAATGGAAAAACGAATAACCACACAATTCTAAAGGACTAGGGGCAAAGGAAAGGGACAGGGACCTATGCAGATATTGATAAAAACAAATGGGCCATCATCTCTCCCCCTCCTCTCCCAGAGTGCACAGAAAATGATGAAGAGGTTTAAATTGGTTAAAGACCATCGTGGAACTGGAACAAGGAGAGGTTTTCATAACAACAGGAAAGATTCTTGAGATTCTTCAAAAGCAACTTAAAATAAGAGTTCATCGTCAAATTCAACCCATTCCAACCAGATAAAGCCCAATTAAAATGCAATTCCAAAGGCGCGCTACTAGTGTCAATATGGGTTGGGTAACCTTTGGTCCCCTCACCCTTGAATTGGAATGCTAGAATGCTAAGAAACATGGAAGAATCAACATGGTCCCATCTTACCGGGGATGGGTGAGGCTTAGAAATATTCTCCTGCATATGGAGTTTGGCTATCTTTAAAACGATTGGAAATGCTTTTGGGGTTTTATGGATTATTCAAGCAACAACTCAAGGATTATAGAATGTGTGGAAGTTGAAAACAGAATTAAGGGGCATCGCTGTGGCTTTATTCCATCCCAGATTAGATTATTGGCAGGCACAACAACTCTGTGTAGCCCAGGTTTGTTCTGATCAAGACACAAACTTCATAATCGGAAAAGAAGCCACAGTCCATGGAAAGCTTCATGCTGGAAGCAGCTTTCATATTGTACAATGGACCTGACAGTTCAGCCTCAAACGCAGAAGATTATTAGAGGATTCAAGATGGATCAGTTTTTCCTACAGTAAATATCCTTTACCTGCCTCGAGATTATCATTACCCAACTGTGAGGAGGAATAAAGGGTGTCAGAAAAGTCAACCAAACTTGCATGAAAATGAAGGGGTTCCTTTGAACACTGTTAGCTCTCGAGCTCCACTCGTCCTCTTTGTTAATGACAGAAGCAGACACCAATACCCATGTTAAAAAAAAAAAAAAAAGCAGATATAACCTCTCCATCCACAAAATAATACTTACGACGAGGAAAGGCTTGTTACCCTTCATGAAGCAATAACCTTTGAAGCTTCAACACACCTTGAAGAATTAACGAAAACAAACCTCGACAAAGGACCAACTACAAACTTGAAAATGCAAGAAAGGGCCTCAATAATATCTAAAAAGTTCTTTGAAGCTTCCTAAATGTTATGCTCATCGTCAATGGTAGAAGAAATTCCTCTTGAAGAAGGATTAAAAATCCCCTACTTTGCTTGGCTCTTCGAAGAAACCATCAAGGTATTCTTTAAAATCTGAACAAGACAACCAAAACCCCATTCTCCAAGCTTGTTGAATGAATTAAAATCCTTCAAATGAGCGATACGCCGATACGCTTTCCTCCTTTGAACCAGAATGAAAATTGTGACAACAATCAGAAAGCAAACAGATTCTAGAATAGGTATGCAACAAGTATCTTCCCCACTCCAAAAAAATATGAATTTCAAAGAAGTTTTCTGAAACACGTGCCTTAAATTCCTTTAAAACAGCTCTTAACAACCCCACCTGCCTCGTTTTGAATGTCAAAATCCTTGACTGCATGATTCCCCTTGTTTGAAACATCTTCAACAGTAGACAAAACGAAAAGGCTCCATTAAGAACACCCCACCAGAATATCAGCAACCCAAGAAGCAATCTGATGTCCACAAAATTGAGACTTCAAATCATAAGCTAAAAACACCAAGATACTTAGCCCATCTCTTGAAGGACTTTGATCTCCCAATCCTCTTGTATTCTATGAATTGAACTTCATGAACAAAAGAGGAGAATTTTAATTTTTCAAAGCAATGCTTGGGAGATGGAGAGCTGTAAACCTTGAAGTCTTTCTTTCCATCGGGGATAACCTCCTCTTCTTGGAATAATGAACATAGGATTTCTTCGAAGAAATTTTCATTTAAAGATTCATTATTTTATTATTATCAATTTTTTTTATAAGAAACAGGAGATATATATTAGAGCCAAAAAAGAGGGGAACAACCTACGGGCGAGGGCCGAGGAGGACCTCCCCAAAAGAAAACTACCACATTACAGCTTGCCAACCTCGAGAAAGAGAAGCTAGGTTGTAATTACAAAAGAATCTCCTACAATCAAAGGCACCGAGATGCCGTAGTAATTTGTACATTTTTAAAAAATATCGAACGGTTGGGAAGTGTCATTGGAAACTCTTTGGTTTCTTTCGTTCCATATGCTCCATAAACAAGCTCTCCCAGCACAACTTCAAAGGACCCTCGCTCTCTCTTTTAGAGTGCCACCGTGAACATTTCAATCAGCCAGTCTTTGACCTTCCTAGGAAGACAACTCAAAATGCCACATTCTCTCATTATAAAAAGTTTCTCGTGGGTATTTAGGCTTCTGTAAGCTACACTCCAAAAAAAGAATTTATCTTTTTTGGACAGGAGAACTTCCATATCAAAGTAATGAGTGGGGACTTTAGCAAGGGAGTCACTTCTGTAAGCTTTAGAAACATAGATTTGGTGGTAAAACGTTTCTCCCCTCTCAGAGCCCATTCCACTTTGTCTTCACCCGCCTCCCATCTAAAGGAGTTTAGCATCTCCATCAATCACATCGAGCTGTCCACCTCTCTGTCGGAAAGACCTCTTCTTAGACCCAAACTCCAACTACATTGCTCGTTGTTCCAACATTCAGCCACTGTACAATCTTTCTTGGTTGTTATTCTAAATAAAAATGGAAATCTAGCTTCTAAAAGGAGTGTCTCCCAGCCATGAATCCTTCCAAAATTTAATTTTTTGCCCATTCTTCACCTTGAACGAGATAAAATTCAGAAAACCATTGCTCATCTTCGCAATTTCCATCCAAGGCCTCCCCTTTAGTAGCCCCTCTAGATGGTGGAGGCAGCCAACTATTTCCTTCTCTATTGTATATACTCGAAATAATGCGTTTCCACAAGGGGTTTTCTTCTTGGATGAATCTCCATAGTCATTTATGAAGCAAGGCAATATTTCTCTGCTTGTACGCTCCAATTCCCAACCCACCGTAAGCCTTGGTCAAGGAAGTACGCTCCCAACTTACTAGATGTCTTTGAGGATGTTGACCATAACCACTCCAAAAGAAGTTTCTGACAATTTTCTCCATTTTCAAGATCACTTTTTTAGGGGCCTTGAAAACAGAGAAGGCATACAAAGGTATACTATTAAAAACTGAAGGAGCCATAGTAAGCCAAACTCCCTTTGAGAGCATAAGATTTTTCCATTTTTCGAGTTTAACCCTGAACTTCTCAACAATGTTATCCCTAAAGGAAGCTTTTTTGAAATTTCCTCCAAAAGGCACACCAAATAATTAATAGGAAGAACCTCTGTTTTACAACCAAAAACTGAAGCTTGATGAAGAACAATCTCCTTTTCCACATCAATTCCCACCAAAGCCGTCTTCTCGAAATTGAGAGAAAAACCAGCTCCCATCATGAAGAGCTCTAGGAAAGTCCACCACCTTTCTAAGTTGTCATCACCCTCCTGACAAAAAATAATAGTATCATCAGCATACCGTAGGTGTGTGAGCGTAACCCCGTTGTGGCCTATCCTCGAGCTACTCAGAAATCTTTTTTCGCAACAAAAATGGATGGAACGACTTGGTGAATCCCCAATAATAGTGAAGAGGAAAGGGGAAAGGGGGTCTCCTCCCCTAATCCCCCTTCTCGCTTTAAATTTCCCCCGCGGTTTCCCATTGATAATAATGGAGAAATTGGTTGATGTAAGACAGCCTCTAATCCACATTCTCCCCCTATTGCCAAAGCCCTTGTTCTTCAATATCGCGTCGAGATAATCCCAATCAACCTTGTCATAAGCTTTTTCTAGATCAACCTTTAGCAAGAAGCCTCTCTTTCTCTTATCTTTCCATTCTCCAACAACCTCCGAAGCAACCATAATAGCATCAAGAATCTGTCTTCCCT